ATTCTAGCTCATAGACTCAGAAAAAAATATACTAAGTCATGGTCATGATATATTAACATTCTAACTCATAGACTCAGAATATGATATACTAAGAAATGGTCATGATATATTAACATTCTAGCTCATAGACACAGAATATGATATACTAAGTCATGGTCATGATGTATTAACATTCTAGCTCATAGACACAGAATATGATATACTAAGTCGTGGTCATGATATATTAACATTCTAGCTCATAGACACAGAATATGATATACTAAGTCATGGTCATGATATATTAACATTCTAGCTCATAGACACAGAATATGATATACTAAGTCATGGTCATGATATATTAACATTCTAGCTCATAGACTCAGAATATGATATACTAAGTCATGGTCATGATATATTAACATTCTAGCTCATAGACACAGAATATGATATACTAAGTCATGGTCATGATATATTAACATTCTAGCTCATAGACACAGAATATGATATACTAAGTATTGGTCATGATATATTAACATTCTAGCTCATAGACTCAGAATATGATATACTAAGTCGTGGTCATGATATATTAACATTCTAGCTCATAGACACAGAATATGATATACTAAGTCGTGGTCATGATATATTAACATTCTAGCTCATAGACACAGAATATGTTATACTAAGTCATGGTCATGATATATTAACATTCTAGCTCATAGACTCAGAAATGTTATACTAGGTCATGGTCATGATATATTAACATTCTAGCTCATAGACACAGAATATGTTATACTAATTCATGGTCATGATATATTAACATTCTAGCTCATAGACACAGAATATGTTATACTAGGTCATGGTCATGATATATTAACATTCTAGCTCATAGACCACACAGAATAATTTTGAGAACATCGTGGTCACATATGATAAATCGTTGCCAAAGATACTAAGTTGTGACCACGAGATGCTAAGTCGAGGCAACGCGATGCTAAGTTATGATCACGAGATACTAAGTTATGGCCACGAGATACTAAGTTATGGCCACGAGATACTAAGTTATGGCCACGAGATGCTAAGTTATGATCACGAGATGCTAAGTTGTGGCCACGAGATGCTAAGTTATGGTCATGAGATGCTATGTTATGATCACGAGATGCCAAGTTATGACCATGAGATGCTAAGTTATGGCCACGAGATGCTAAGTTATTGCCACGAGATGCTAAGTAGTGGCCACGAGATGCTAAGTTATGGTCACGAGATGCTAAGTCGTGGCCACGAGATGCTAAGTTATGGTCACGAGATGCTAAGTTATGATCACGAGATGACAAGTTATGACCATGAGATGCTAAGTTATGGCCACGAGATGTTAAGTAGTGGCCATGAGATGCTAAGTTATGATCACGAGATGCTAAGTCGTGGCCACGAGATGCTAAGTTATGGTCACGAGATGCTAAGTTATGATCACGAGATGCCAAGTTATGACCATGAGATGCTAAGTTATGATCACGAGATGCCAAGTTATGACCATGAGATGCTAAGTTATGGCCATGAGATGCTAAGTTATTGCCACGAGATGCTAAGTAGTGGCCACGAGATGCTAAGTTATGGTCACGAGATGCTAAGTTATGATCACGAGATGCTAAGTCTTGGCCACGCGATGCTAAGTTATTGCCACGAGATGCTAAGTCGTGGCCACGAGATGCTAAGTAGTGGCCACGAGATGCTAAGTTATGGTCACGAGATGCTAAGTTATGATCACGAGATGCTAAGTCTTGGCCACGCGATGCTAAGTTATTGCCACGAGATGCTAAGTCGTGGCCACGAGATGCTAAGTTATGGTCACGAGATGCTAAGTTATGATTACGAGATGCTAAGTTATGGCCATGAGATGCTAAGTTATGGCCACGAGATGCTAAGTTATGATCACGAGATGCTAAGTTGTTGCCTTGAAGATGCTAAATTGTAGCCATGATGTACAAAGTCATGGCCACAAGATGCAAAAAAATATTATTCTGTATTATATGTCGCCTCTATGCTTCCGTAGATTTGTCATTTTTTTACAGTTTTGTAATGTTGATGTTTAAAAATTACTCACGAATAGTTTTGGCGTTAAAAAATTCATTAAAGTTGGATTGTACATGTACGTTTTAGCAAATACATCCAGAGTCCTCAATAGAAACACTATAGTTGGATTGTACATGTGCGTTTTAGCAAATACATCCAGAGTTCTCAATAGAAACAATATAGTTGGATTGTACATGTGCGTTTTAGCAAATACATCCAGAGTCCTCAATAGAAACACTATAGTTGGATTGTACATGTGCGTTTTAGCAAATACATCCAGAGTACTCAATAGAAACAATATAGTTGGATTGTACATGTACGTTTTAGCAAATACATCCAGAGTCCTCAATAGAAACAATATAGTTGGATTGCACATGTGCGTTTTAGCAAATACCTCCAGAGTCGTCAATAGAAACACTATAGTTGGATTGTACATGTATGTTTTAGCAAATACATCCAGAGTACTCAATAGAAACAATATAGTTGGATTGTACATGTACGTTTCAGCGAATACATACAGAGTCCTCAATAGAAACAAGTCAAGGTATAAGACGAGGTTCTTAATAGCTTGACATTGTAAAATACAAGAAAGGTGACTATTGCAGTCAAGGTATAAGTAAAAAAAAAAATCCGTAAATTATTAATGAAAATATTTCTAAAGTTTGCTATTTTTATATTAAAACTGAAATTGTTTTAAAAGGGGTTGATTAAAAACAGAGAGTACTAATTGTTAATTAAGCAGTTTGACCTAGTTTTGGTGTTTGACTTTATAATGGCTTGATATTATTAGTTAAAATCTTTAGAATACGTAGGAGATATATTTCTCTACAATTAGGCGTTTATTTTACTTAAATGCGTACAGTAGTTTTTTAACAGCTTTCAAAAAACACAACGAACTTTAAAACCTTACATAATGTTTTTAAATATTTTTGGTGTTTAAAAATTAACGGCTAGATTGTTATTAGTTTAAACTTTTAGATACGTTAAAGGGTACATTTCTCTATATTTTGGTGTATAGTTTTCACGAATTTTAGCAACAAAAAAAGCGCACGTCCCTTTAAGATAATAAGCACTATGACGTCATAAT